GGGCCGAGGGTGCCCAGCCCAGGTGCAGACACAGCTGTAGGTAGAGGAGATGAACCTCAGCCCTTGAACCAGACTTATTCCAGTAGCAACAGTGGGGTTTTGCTAGCTGAGCATCCATGGTGAGCAGGGAGGGAGCAGCCAGCTTTACATGGCCTTTCTCGACTGCTCTATTATAAAGAATTTGGGAAGCTAATTCTTAAATCCTCTCTGGACATTGAATTTTTTGGACATTCGCTATTAAAAAAAAAAATCAAACAGCTGCATTGCTTTGGCAGGGCTGTCAGCGTGCCCACGCCTTGCTGAGAACGGGAGGAAAGGGGCTGCTCTCCAAAATGCCAGCAGTGCTTCCCCCCGCCGCTGCTGGTGGCAGACAGGGAGGTGAATCCAAGCTGTTGGCTCCCAGGGTAACAAGAGGGCTGTGGAGAAACAACTGCTCATCGTTTTTCTCACCATGCTCAGCCACTGTCTCATTGGCGAGGTTGGTATCACACACCAAAATAGTCTAAAAAGGCCTCCTAGCATCAGTTTAAGAGTGTTTTGGCTCCTTTCTGCCAGAAGTGGAAGGTGATGAATGCAGCTCTAATGGCTCAAAACACCCAGCAGCTACACGCATCCTCAACACCACCCTGCCATGCTCCTGCGTAACACACTTCCAAGGTTACCAGCATTTGCTGGCACCAAGAAAAGCTCCCCCAGGCCCCCAACCCTGGCCACAGCCACTTGGCTGTGATCTTTGCACAACAGCTTCCAGCTGCGGCTTCAACCAAAAGCCAGCCAAGGCACAGGGACCACAAACCAGCACGGTTGCACTCCTGGCAATGGATTTTGGGCTGTTTATGGCAAAGACTTTCAGACTCGACTAGGACTTTTTTTCCTCCTACCGAGACATTTATCTCCAAGCTAAATGAACACAGTGTTTAACTGCTGCTCTCCCGCTGTGGGCTAGCAGGTGATGTGGAGATTTACTTGCCGGCTGGTGCAGGGCAAAACATCCCAGTTTACAACAGCAGCCACATTCCAGGGAAGCGGCTGCAGAGCTAAAGCACAGCTGGAGGTCCATGGGAGCAGAGGGAGGCATCTTGCAGCAGCATGTGAGAAAGCAGAGGTATCTTGATACAGACAATATTGCTGTTTAATAAAAGCATCCTCCCTAGACGACTGTCGCTGAAAATGCTGCCAGGACTGCAGCAGGCTGGCCTGAGCCAGCTCAACAGTCAGAGTCTTGCTAAGGGAAGGAAGCAAGTTGCAGCTTTTTTTTCTGTATCTTTAAAAATAATCTAATTTTACTTCTCTGACAACAACCACGTCCTAAGCTTACAGTAAGTCCCTCCTGGCCTTGAGCTAAACCATGTGGAAAAAAGAAAACCAAACCCAACCAAATTAATCCAATTTAAAATCTTCCCTTTGCAGGTTCTTTGCCAAACCTGAGGGCTGCATAAGGCTCCAGGACCGTCACCCACCTCGGTTCCGGCACCCACCCCCTGCCCATGCTGAGTGGACAAAGCCAAGGGATGAAGCCAGGCTGGCTCAGCTGGCTACCCAAGAGGGGGCTCTCCATGGCCCCACCAGCACCTCTCCCAGCACACCAGGTGTTCCCTCCACTGCATGAACATCCCCAAGCCCACACCCTTTCTCCTCAAAGCAGGCAGCCAAGGAGCAACAAGCTGCTGCAGCAGCGTTTGGATGTGAACAGCATGGTCACTGGCCCGCCAGAGGCGGGATTTTTTGCCAGCGCTTGGCTGAACCCCTGCACACAGGCTGTGGGCTGGAGACCCTGCGGGGATGCTTTGAGAGGGCAAAAGAGTGGATTTGTAGATGGGTCAAGACCCGGCTGGGGCAGCAAAACTGTGAGACAAAGAGCAGGCATTGAGGAGGACAAGTGGGGTGGGAGGGCGAAAGGCCAAGGGGACTGTGGCACATGTGCCCAGCTGCTTCCTCCAGCCCCAAGATGTCACTCCCTTAACCACAAAAGTACAAAACTAAGAAGGGAGGAGGGTTTTTTCCCCCTCTTTATAATCAGCCTTCCCTCCCCTGCCAGCAGCTGCCTTGCGGTGGGTGCAGGAGCAGCCTCCTGGCCCCGCACAGGGCTGAGACCCAAGCCAGCAGAGGAAAGGTTTCTACCCAGCTGCTTAACCTGCTCCATGAGGCTCAGGGGAAAAGCTGTTTGGATCCTTCCCAGCTCCACAGCCCTTCCAGCCACAGAAAATATCTTCCTAGGAATGTGAGATACAAGCCTGATAAGCACATGTTTTAAAACAAGATGGGGATAGGTTTTAAAGCTGTCCTTCTGTTCAGGCTGTGTTTAAGCAGCACCAGGGTCATCTGTTATGATGGGGGATTTTCATCAATTTAGTAGCTCCAAAGCTGTAGCATTACAGCAGTATGAAGCCTTGCATTCTCAAATCACTTTAGCTTTGCAGCCCCAGAAAACAGCTGCTTGATGTGAAGAGGGGCCAAAAGAGGAGGAACTGGGTTACGACAAAATACGCTGACTTCATTTCCAACTCAGAGTTGTGTCACTGACTGTTAACAAGCGCGTTTACCAGCCACGGGCCTCCCACTTAACGGCATGTAGCAACTCCCAACGCAAGGAGCTGCATCCCGACTTTCCCTCGCCCTGCCTCCACTGCAGGCAGCTGCCACAGCAGGATGGCTGTGACCACTCCTTGTCCTTCCCCGCCATCAAGTGTGGTTTAACCTCTCCTCCCCAGTGCCTAGCAGGCTTGACACCACAGAGCAGCAAGACTTGCCCTTTTCCCTGAGAAACTGAAGACAGCAAGGCATTTTTGGGACGCACAGTGCAGCCAGCAGCAAAACCACTTCTCTTGCAGCTCACTGGAGTGATGAACAGAACAAAATCCTGCACCTCAAGAGCCTTTGAACTGACACTTTCCTACAACAGGCTGAAAGGAGACCTCCCGTCAGAGGCTCCGCCATGCAGAAAAGCATATGAGACTGATAGGAGCACGTCACACACTAGTCAGGCATGTTTGCACACACCAATTAAATATCCCAATTAGCCTGGAGTATAGACAGGATGGCATGCAATTTGCCCTAAGCCATTCAACCCAACAGCGAGGCTGTACTGCTCATCATGCTTTTAAGCACCTGCTTTTCAAAGCAGCACCTCATCATTTGTACGCAGCTGGCACACAGCAATTTGCTCCAGGCTTGTGCCCAGGGTTCCAAGCCTCAGCATAACTAGCCAAGCAGGGGGAAGAGCCGTTTTCACTCCCACATCCCAGCTTCACTCAGTTTAAACGCTTTGACTCGCTGGAAGTGGGAGCCAGGGCTATAAGGAGCTGCACAGCCAGACCAGGGGCTGCATGGCCACATGAGCACTGCCCTGCCCACACTGAACTTACTCCACTGAGAAGCAAAAGTCTCAAACTAAGCAAGTGCTTACTCCCCCTTCCTTTAAGGCCCCCAGTTTTTAACAAAGATGCAGCAGGAAGGGTAAGATAGCATCCTCACCTGGCCCCATTAAACAAATCCTCTGCAAGGAAAGCAAGAGCTGGCTCTCAGTTATTTTATTTAGGCTTTGAACCTGCCTCCCTGCCTTTCAGCCCCATTGGGTGAAGGTAGAGGAGCATTAATTTACATTGCTCAGATTACACCAAAACTGTACCTCAGCCAAAAGCGCAGCTGGCCCCAAGACCCCTTCTTGGGCGAGCTAAAAAAAAAACTGTATGTAAATGAAGTTCCCACAGAACTAAAATAGGGTGTGTTTAAACCAGACAGGAACCCCCAAGATAACTAGGGCACACTCCACTCCCACCTCCACAGACAGTATCTCACTCCTCCCATCCGGCTGCTGCATCTATCTCACCCCTGCAGGAACCTGCCTCTACCTCAGCCCGCCAACACCAGGAGCCAAAACCTGATAGAAGACAGCCAAGATGCCAAAACTCTGCTGAAGTGGAGGCCTGAGGCCTCACAGACTAACAGCAAACAAGTGGGTCGGTCATGCCCTCCCCTTTCAGGCCTTAACCTTAACCTCCTGTATCTGGAACAGTTAATGACTTGCAGTCCAAGGCAACATCCCTGGTCAGGCACACACAATCGTGTTGACAGCAGCAACATAAACCCCCTTGCCCCACTGAGGCTCTGTGAAGGCATCTGTATTCCTTTATTCAATCCAGACTGCCACAAGGTCAGGCAGGTAGAAAGCGCAAGGAACCTGTTACTGTTGCATCTCAGCAAGAACCAGAGAAGCAATGGCCGTTTGCTCCAGGTCTGTCAAATAGATGCATTTCCTAATGAGGAACACAGCAGGAACCGAAGTTGTAAGTACTCAGGTAAGTCTCAAGCCCAGACACGCACCTGCTTGTGATAAGCCTAGGATAGGGCTAGGCCATTCTGACATTTCTCTCCCCAAGGAGAAAGCAAGTACAGAAAAACCCAAAATCCTGTAACTTGACTAAGTTCTAGTTAATCTGCTCCTGAATAGCTGTCAAATACACAGGAGCTAGTACCACAGCCAGGCTGTGTTGGAAAACCTAGTAATTTCACCCCCTCCACACAATGTTCCCACTACCTGGGCTCAGAGAGTGCTGGTGTTAGACTACTGCTCCATCCATCCTCCTCCCTTTATCTTGAAGTCATACTGCAACTGAGGGCAGACTCGATATCCTTGTCTGACAAAGAAGCTCAGCCAGTACTCAGCTTGAGTAGCACATATTCCATTCTGTTGGTTTTTTTAATTAATTTTGGTATCTTCCAGAGATAGAAGTCTCTGTGCAATCGTGAAAGATGAAGAAGGTCCACTCCACTACGATGACATTTCTTGAGCTTTGCCTTATTCCCCTCAGCCTGCTCTTGTACTCCAATGCCACAGGTAGAAACTACGTGAGGTCTGTCTGGAGACAGTCAAGTTGTAGCGCGCTAGGGCCAGGCTGTACTACTGACAGTACCAAATCCTCGGACAAACATCTTGCTGCAACCTCTCCTGCAAGTCACCCTAAGAAACACTAGACCAAAAGGCATCACCTATGGGTTTAAATGAGTTTTATTTTAGACAACCTACATGACAGATGTTTTGTTTTTTCTTTTTTTAAAACAATGCCTCCACTCCAAATCAGGGTCAAAATAAGTGAATAAAGCTTAAGATGACATCAGTCCGGTTGTTAGACATTGCCAATTCCTGGTGTTGTGCCGATGAAGAAGAAACAGCAGCCAGCTATGAAGACAGGTGATCCAAAACCATACTGTTTGATTTGTTACTGAAAGAAGAGTAGCAAGTGTTAGTTCAAGGTCATGATAATCAGGGTAAGTTTCTGTAACTTATTTGTGTATTCCCTAACTCAATCTGAGCTGCCACAGTCAGGCAGGCAGAAAGCGCAAGGAAGTTATTTTTGCATCTTAGTGCAAACCAGAGAGCAACAGGACAAGTGCTCATGGTCTATCAGAGGATGCTGAGCTTTTCTACGATCATACAGAGCAACTGGCATCAGCTGCTGAGCAAGTCAGGCAAGATACTCATTCACACCCTTTTTGCTTGACACACCAAGTTTCAGATTTCCTCTCAAATAAGAGCATGTCCTAAACAAGTACTAAAGCTTACAATGTAATGCTGTCTCTTACAAGAGCTGTACCAAGAAGCTGGAACAGTTTTCTGCCCCCTGGAATGCCCTGCTAGTATTCTTTTACCCCATCTTGAAGTGGATAGGGCTATCCGAATTACACATCCAAAAGGTCTGCCCAAGTAGGGGAGATCTGCTCAGAGGAGGTACCTTCCAGGGGACTGCCTGTTCTGGGGTCCAGGACAGACATCACCCTTCAGTCAAGCTGCAGGAGATGGTGTGTCTGGGCCAATGAAAGTGCTCCTCTAGTGAAACTACTGCTCCACACTAGAAGTTGGTTCATCTTTACATGACTTGCATACCAGAAAGCCTGTAAGAGGCTTTACAGATAAATTTAGCTGGCTATAAACAGGCTTCATAAGTCTGCAATGACTGGGCAAAGCAATTGGTGATCCCACACTGCTAGTCTACAGTGAATTCCACAGCTCTCAGAATAAGCCAAAAAATTCAAGTGTTGGGATCCAAATACTGTTTCATTGCAACCACATTCCAACCCAGAGTAACTAAAGAGAAAGCAGACTGCAGGAGCCGCCTGAACTCAGGCAACTGGAGATTCCAGATAGAATAAGGTTAAGTATTCGGTCAACTATTACTGTGTTCCCAAATTTAGGGCAACATTTAAACAGATAGTTCTTCCATAACAAAATAAGGGCATCAGATTAAGTGAAAGAAGATGAAACGTGATCATATAAGGTACTTCAGAATTAACCCCCACAAGAGGGATCCAAAGTAGAAGTGCTCCATTTCAGAGGACATTGTCTTTAATCTAATAGTTTAAAACCATTACCAACTACACACATCTCACCAAGGCAATTCCTTCTACATTTCCTAGCCATTAAGTCACAATGAATCATTGCAGTGAAACTACATCCCCTTTGAGTATGACTCATTAGTATACAAGGGAAGTTTCAGACACTTTGTAGAATATGAAGCAGCAATTAGGCCGTACTTACATGAACTTTAAGTTTTTAAACTGGCAGTTACTGCTCAACTTTAACAGGGATACAACAGAACAAGGGATGCACTGAAAGAGCTAATCATGTAGTTAGGCGCATTCATCCAATTCAGGTCAGTACTTACACATTTCTCAATTTCTAAGCCGTCCTTAAAGAAAATCATATATGGGGTCACACCGTCCTCACGGAAATCCAGGAGAGCCACCATACCATCTGGATTCATGTTCTCTCCTACAAAGAACTTCAGAGAAATGTGTTACTGAGACATTTAATGAGCTACTACCAGGGGAAAGTGCCTTTTATACAAGAAAGCTGTTACATCTACTAGTTCAGTTTAGAGGTGTCCCTGCCCAGCTACAGGGATTTTGCTTTCTATAGCTTGTCCATTTTAGTACCACATAACTTTACCACACTGCTGTGAACAGCAGAGTAGGACACAGCAGGGGCCAAAGTGATCCATCTTTGTGATGTGATCCATCTTTCTGAAAACTACAAATGTAGTTAACTACAAGTGTTGCAAGCTGAAATGACATCCCCAAACACCTAAGAGTCTTTCACTGTTCTCCTCCCTGACCCTCATAGTCCCTACTACTCTCAGAGAAGGGTAAGTTAGATGCCCTCCCAACAAGGGCCCTCAAAATTCTCCACAAGCTAGTTCAGCAGATGAACCAATTGCAGCTTGTATCACTGCAATACTGCTGTAAGGAGACATAAGTTTCGTTACCTGGTAGTTTTTGAAGTTAGCAAGGATGTGTTTGATTTGTTCGGCAGCCCCTGTCATGAAAGGCTTTACTCTCTCTGGCTTGTGTTCCTCAAGTCTGGCTTTGATTCTGGAAGGGAAAAAAGCTCTGAAAACATGTTCTAGCCTAATAACTTCACTGTGCAGCATCACATCATAGCAGAAAGAGTTACTTGCAGTCAAACTGTTTGATTTTGCTGCTTTTCCCCCTCTCCCTCTCAAAGCCCCCAAATTTTAATTTAATTTTGCTAGTGAATTAGCAGAACAGTGCCTGCCACTCACATCAAGCTCATTTTACTTCTAGTCTAGTGGTAGACAAAAATTAGCACGCCATTTCCACAACATCAAGAATACTATGCATCAGTATCACGGAGAAAGTGTTTTCACCTTTAGTGCTAACCCGCTAAACACTGAGTCACAAAAATTATACCTTGAATTAGCAAAAAGTTCCATTCACACACATTATATTTGGACATTTAAATTGTCAAGTTAGAAAAGCTTCCTGAAGCTTTCTTCATCACCCCACCCCCTTCCCTATGAAGCTCTGGCATAGAGGAATCAGAAAAAAACAGCAAAGTTACAAATAATATCCAAAGCACATGATCAGGTCCTCTACCTCAGCCAAGATAAACTTAGATATTCCAGTATCTATTTGTTAGAGCTCCAGTTTTGCCAAGTATTAAGACACTATTCATGTTCACAGCCAGTTTGGCACCTGTATCGGAACGAACACCTACTACAAATAAAGTTCAATACTGTTTTTAAAATCTCAGCAACCTAACAATTTCGCCATCCATTTAAAGAAAAAGCCAACCAACACTTACGCTTTCATGTAGTCCTTGATGTACTTCTTGTAGGATTCTTTTGTAAAGCTGGTTTCCTGAAGGTGGTGGTTTATTACTATATCAACACCAGTTATGACCGTGGCTTCTGTTCCATCTCCCTCAGGACCTTCAGCAGAGGCATTGCCACCAATTAGAGAGTCATCAATTTGACCCTCTGTCCTGGTGACCATCTAGATTTAGAGACATCAAAAAACTTAACGGCTCTGCAAAAATCTTAATGCTACCGCTCTTACACATCTATGACCTGACAGCAGGGCATGATTTCAGAGCCACAGTTAAGTGCAAGGAATCTGACTGCAGCCCAAGCACAGATTTCTTAAGCCAAGCTCCTCTCCCGATGCCTGACTAAAGCTTCGTTACACCACCGGTGCTGCGCTCCAGCTCGGCTGCCCCGGGCCCTCTCACGCACCACTTGCAGCAGAGGCCGGCCCTGCCTCGGCCACAGGCACCAGGCCGTGGTGGATCTCCCCCTCTCGGGCCCCTCACAGGGAAGCCAGCC